CCAACCATTACAATACTTCCAACACGTTCAATATAGGCGATCTCACAGCATATCACCCATCGGACGCGGCACCAACGAATCTTTCATCTTCAGATTCAGATTCTTCTGTTAGCGGGGGAAAATGATGCGGTGCATCACGTCGCCGATTAGCATATTTATCACAATATTACTTAGTTATCTTAAATATTACTTAGTTATCTTGAACAACTTTTATTTTATTTAGTAATCTTGTGAAGCAGCTTTCCGTTAGCATTGTTGCTGCTCCACCTTCTTGATTTCCTTATTTAGGCGAGTAGTACCAACGGCTCAATTGGTGCAGTAGGCATTTGTAGTAAGAGCCAGTTTTGTCTCTTGGATGCTTGTTTATCTTCTCCTGTTGAGGATGAAGAAGGTATTGAATGATATAGTTTCTCAGGCCTTTGCCTTGGCAATATTGCTGTCCTCCTGTGGTGTTTTTAGCTTTGTGAACCTGCTTCTTCCACCGTATACCCCATCATTATTGGCAGTACAAATAATTGTTAAAATATGTCCTATTGTTAGCATGACTAGTGGCACAAGAAGGAAAGATCATGCATGGAAATCTAATTATTTTTTGTCATTATTTATAATTTTAAATTAATTTATTTTAATCGTTTTGAGGCTTACGCCTCGATCCGCCTCGAGGCTTACGCCTCGCCTCGCTTAGAAAAAACGTCTCGATTCTCAATTTCGCCTTTTAAAACCTTGTGTTTGGGTAGAGAAAAAAGGATGAAATAATTAGATTTTTGGAGATGAAAACCTGAGGGTTTTTTTTTGGAAAAGCTTGAGAGCTTGTTCCACTTCTTTTCTCTCCTTTTCTAAGAAAATTTGCGAGCATGTCCTCTTTCGTCTCGGCCTCTTATCTATTTCTTATCTCCGCATATGACCACTCCAATTGTATCATTCTTCTCAATCTAAGAAAGCTCCTTTAGGTATTATTTGTGTCCGTGGTTGTAAGTGTCAAAAGTTGTAAGTATCTTTCTATTATAAAAATAAAGTTGTATTTTGTTTTAAATGTCTTATTTTGTCTATTTTTGAAAATTTGGTGTATTTTTTTATTTGCTAGGAAGCGTTTGTTTTTTATTGCATCAATTTGATATCAGAGCAAGTTATTGAGTGAGTCTTGGTGTGTCATAATAGTTGTTGTGTGAGCCTAGGGTTGTTTCTTCCTAGGTTGTTTGTTTTATAAGTGTTTCGAAAAATGGAAAATTACAAAAAATTGAATCAGACATGGAAGAAAATCAGCCAGTCGATCCTACATTTGAAACTCCAATGGACAGATGGGTTCCGACAGAAGGAAGTTCAACAGACCCACTTCAAAATGAATTATACAAATTACAGATAAAATTGCATATGAGTACGGAAAAGTATGTGAAGAAAAAAAAAGTGTCTGCAATAATAGTTTAAGCAAGAACGAGAAGAAATTTTGAAAATGTATAAAGCAAATATTCAAGAGCTAGATGCGCTTCCTTCATCTCCTCGGAATAAATCAAAATCAACATCAACGGGAGATGAGCTTCTTCAACCGGAGGATAATTGATGTAGGAAAGGAGGGGTCAAAATAAGTTGAGTTGAAAATTTTGTAAGTTTATACTAGAGTCAGCTCATTAATGAGCTTCTACTAATTATTTAGCTCATAATTTGGTTTTAATTTGGTTCATTCCCCATTACCTTTGGTTCTTCATCCCATGGCCGATTTTTTCCCCTTCCTGGTGTCCCTTTGGTTTTCCCTTTGGTTGTCTGTTCCGCCTCCCTGGCTCCTGTTCCGCCTCCCTTGGCTGTTGTTCCGTCTCTCTTGTTGGGTGCTGCTTCCGATCCCCTTTGTGCCCCTTCGGTTTCTCCCCTAGGTGCTTATCCCGTGGCTGTTTTTTCTTGTTTGATGTGTGGCTTTTTTGGGTGTTGTTTTGGAATAAATTTTGGGTTTTAGGTGGCTGTTTGGTTCCTGTTTCTGTCCAGATTCGTGGCTTTGATTATTCGGTTTTTGGGAGCCTTAAATGCTGCCTTTTTTCCAACAGTTTCTCCTGTTTTTGTTGGATGTTTTGGACACCTGTTTTAGGTGTCTTTTGGGCTTCTTTTTGCCTATTTATAGGGAGTTTGTGGTTATTTTAAAGAGAATATATGGCTGATTTTTGGAACAAAACCTGAGGGTTTTTCATTGGGAATAGCTTGCGCGCTATGTCCTTCATCTCTTCTCCTCTCTATAGCTTGTGAGCTATATTTTGTCTCGAGCTTCTTATCTCCTTCTTCTCTCCGCAAGTTTGACGCTATCAGCACCTTTCTTCTCAATCCAAGAAAGCTATGTTAGGTGTTTTATGTTTGTCAAGAGTTGTAAGGTGTTTAAATGTTATAAGTTTGTAAAAGAGTCATTTTTATCTTATAAAAGTTGTTATTCATCTATTTTGAGTATTTTGTGTATTTTTCTTATTATTTCCTAGGAAGTCTTTTTTCTTTTTGCTTGCAAAAATTAGGGGCTTTTCTAATTTTTGTTTGCATCAATTTGGTATCAGAGCATGGTTGTCGTGTGTGTATTGGTGTCATGTGAGTTTTGTTTATGAGTTGTGTTGTCATTTGAGTCTTGGTGAGTTATAAAGTTATCAAGATGGATAAACATCAAGTGAAAGTAAGCAATCTGCAATTAAAGAATCTATTCCTAAAATCCAATGGATCTCGCCACAAGAAAGTCCTTCAGACCCGATTCGAACTTCTCAAGATTCAAGAACAACTGTCATTATGTGCTGAGAGATACGAGTCTAAGAAGCGTTCACTTCTAGCTGAATTTGAATGAGAAAGGGAAGCCATCAAACGAAAGTGTGATATTCTAATCCAAGAATCTGAAATGCCGAATCTCCAAAATTTTGAAGACATCTCATCGGGAGATGAGTATTTTAGCTTGTATCCTTCTAGCTTGCGAGCTTGTTCTAGCTTGCGAGCTTGTTCTCTTTCATCTCGGCCTCTTATCTATTTCTTCTCTCCGCATGTGACCACTCCAATTATATCCTTCTTCTCAATCCAAGAAAGCTCCTTTAGGTGTTGTTGGTGTTGTTTGTGTTCGTGTTTGCAAGTGTCAAAAGTTGTAAGTGTCTTTCTATTATAAAAGTAAAGTTGTATTTTATTTTAAATGTCTTATTTTGTTTATTTTTGAGAATTTGGTGTATTTTTCTATTTCCTAGGAAGCATTTGTTTTTGCTTGCAAAAATTTGGGTCTTTTTCAAAATTTTGCTTGCATCAAACGAGAAGCATAATATTTAAGTTAAATATTGCAAAGATGAGAATGCTCAGGTGGATGAGTGGTTTACTCTTATAGACGAGATACGAAATGAGCATATACCTGAAAAGGTTGGAGTAGCTCCAGTGGAAGATAAGATTAGAGATAGTCACCTTAGATTGTTTGGTCACTTAAAACGGCGACTTTCTGATGACCCGTTTAGTAAAGTGGTTATATTAGATTTGACTTATGTTAAGAAAGATAGAGATAGATTTAAAAAGACTTGATTACAAAATATTAGAAATGACATTTCTTTATTACATTTAGATGAGATTTTGACTCTTAACATGACACAATGGAGAAAAATAATTCATGTACCCGACCCCACATAGTGGGATAAAGACTTCTTGTTGTTGTTGTTGTAAGTTTTATGGAGCACCAAGTTGGATCAAATTCATGAGCAATAAGCCAAACTAGCATCTTGTGGTCAGTGAAAAATAATAAAATCTTTACTAGTAAAGGGATAAATGTATTGTTCTTTGTTAGATGCATTTCCCTTGATATTTATTATAAGTTTCATTTGTTTTATTATAAAATATTTTATTCATCCATAATCCATAATGATTCTTGTGTTTATATTGATATGATGCGATATTTAGTTTCATACCATGTTAAATTGTTGCATTTTCAATAAATTTTATGTGCATTGTTTTGATTGATGAGAAAAAAAATCTTACTCATACAAATTATGGACTATGTTGATGATTAACAAATCATAATGATTATAGAATCTTCATAATTGCAGATTGCTTGAAATACAACATGTAGATTATGCATGGTTGTATGTAATGAAGCAAAGTATTGTTAGCAGAACCCTTTTGTGATTGGGTAGGTAAGCCAATGGATCCTCAAAGTGACATATTTTTCAAAATTTGTTGAATTTCTATTGGTCAGTGAAAACCTTCTTGGTTCAAAATATCTTAGTAGACCAACTATGGGTAAAGTTAAATATAAAAATATCATTATAATGATTGATAAGCATTTTATTTTTTTTGTTTTTTTAAATACTAATTAGAGTGTTTTCAAAAAAGTAGCTCAAATAAATTTTTTCTATTTCAAAAAAATTTTTTCTTCCACTGACTGCATTCCCGATGCAACAACTACAAGCCAGGTCGTCTCATTTTCTTCCACATGCATGCACAACAAGTGGTGTTGATAAGAGATCACTCAATCATGGAAACTACTTTCAGAGAGCTGACTAACAACTCCTCATTTTGGGAAGATGTCACCAACAGTAACACTTTAAGCTTCGCCGCTGTGATACCTCGCTCGGGTGCAACCATAGCTGTTGGTTAGATATTCTTTAGATATTTATGTTAGATGGAAAACAAAAAATTCCTCATGCTGGAGTGATCCATAGCCTCTTCATTTTCGTCAGCATCCATGGGGATAATTCCCTCTTCTCATAATAATGAAAAAATTAAAAACCTAAGTAATTTCAATTATCTATTAATTACATTGAATTTAAACAACCAAAAATAAAATTATGAAGTAAAATTAATTTGCATTACCTCAAATTACTCTAAACCAAATAGTTCCCTTAGGGCTCATTTGATTGATAATAGACAGGAATTTTGTCTTAAAAATATGATTTATAAACGCATCCAACCAACTGATTAATTTAACAATTTTTATCATTTTTCAAAAAACGCTTCCTTACATCAGGCAATTAAATGAGCTCTTACGACAATTGCAATAAGAAGGAAAATAACTTTACCAAGCAGGCCTGTATAGTATGAAAGAGGCACATCCGTGTATTTGATCTTAATAAGACCTTCAGTTGAGGAAATGAGGCTATATTCTTCCCATCCAGTTATCCCCCACACATAGTCTCCTTCATTGAAGTTTGGATGATTAGAATCCAAAACTTTAGCCACACCATAGCCAGTTATTGCCTGTTGTTAGGGTGAAAAAAAAAAAAGATAAAAATTTGACATTTAAGTGTAAGTATTTAAGAGAACTCATGGGCTTGTAAACTTTGACATGCTTGTTGACCATGGAGCCTTTTTCTCATTAAAAAAGATTAGAATCCGACAGTAGTTCTTTACATTCTACATCAATTTTCTTTTGGATAAAAACTTTATAAAAATATCTTGATGTATCTTACATCATGATGAATGTGTCATTTTTTTTAAATATCCTATCTTATTTATCAATACAACTATTAGACAATACAATTAAATAAATAAATAAATAAAAACACAACTGAACTATTAGATAGAACAACTACACAATTAGACATCCACTAGCATAATCATGACAAAAATATATGAGAATAATCTCTGAAAGAAAATGCCTTAAACTAACATAAGATGGATAGAATGAAACTATTAGAAATTCATACATATAAGTATTACAGCAACAAATGTATAAGAATCAATATAACTACATGAAATTATGAAAGAGCGCGATTAGCAAGTGATTTCATGGACACCGAGTGATAAAATTAGCCCCATCCACAGAGTATATTGACAAGATTTTCCCTTCATCTTCTTAAGCAAATTGAAGGCAGAACTAAATCAAATTTAGAAGTTATATACAAAAAAGGTATACCAAACCAAGTGTAGGAAAGGAAAAAAAAAAGTCGGTAACGAACCGTAGGAAAAATAAGAAAAAAGAAAAGAAAAGGAACCTCGCCGGGGATGAAGTCGGGGACGTAGCTGGGCTCGTCGTGCTTAGTCATGCGAGATCGCATGTAGGGGTCGCAAGAGAGGTAAAGGTTCTTCACCAAGACCGCCGTCGTTCCTTCTGGGACCTTCAATCGTAAGGCCCCCGTCGTCACCAGCTCCATGTCACTCTCCTTAGGGAACCCTGTTATATAGTGTTTCAGGACCACCTTCTTGTTCTCCACCGCCGCCTCCCCTCGCTTCTCCGCCATTCTCCCTCCCTCCCTCTCTCTCTCTCTCTCTGCTTTCAGCTCCCTGGTTCACTTGTCAATTGCGTATCTCTCTCTCTCTCTCTCTCTCTCTTATCTGTGGAACCCCCTCGAAATTATCTGGACTTTTAGTGGTGTAACGAGAGAATTTGTGCTCAACTATATATTAAAAAAATCAAAAAAAGGCTCAAATTAATTGATTAAACTTTTATGAGAAAATATTAAAAGTTAAAAAAAATTGTGATTTATTTTATTAATTAGATATAAATATTTTAATATTTTGATAAATATTTTGTAAATAAAAAAAGATAATGTTTTTAATAGATGTATACTTAAATTCTTAAGTTTAATATATTTTAAATTAAATTTTTTAATTCTCCAATGAGTTGAGTTGAAGTTAAAGATGTGAACAAGTGGAGTTGACTCATGAGTCAGCTTAAATTAGGCTAAAAAAAAAAAGACTCATAAATTCAGCTTATGAGCTTACGAGCAATTTTTTTTTTTTTGGGGAAAATTTGGGCAAGGCCCGTATATTAATTAGAGATGATTACAGGTAAAAACTATAGCCTCAAAAGACAAAAAGAGGCTGGCCGAAAGGCCCAAAAAAGCTTACAGCAAATGATATAGCAGCATAACTAACAAAAATCAACAACCAAAAATTAAACTTCCTTAACAAAAGGACTTAAAAAAGGTGCCTTGACTCAGTTTAGATCATATCATAACATCAAATTGGCAGCTCCGAATAAACTCCTAGTTGCCTGTAGGCCGTCCAAGAAGTTCCTGAAGTGGGTACATCATCGTCCAAGGCAAGAAAACCCTCAGGTAAGATCCATACGAAGGCAACCGGCGGGGCAGTTTTGAAATTCCAGCTAAAACAGCTCCATGAGATTTCCAGCATCCTTCCAATAGGTAATTTTATCATAAACAACTCTTTTAACATTTAATGCTACAGTTTTTAAGCATTTAAAAGAGGATCCAAATCTTCTATCATTCCTTTCTTTCCAGATAAAATAAATTGTGCAGCTTGCCAAAAGAAAATAAAAATTCCTCTCAGATTTCCTGGAGGCAAAACAATTATTAATCCATTCGAAAAGGTGTAGCACATTCGGCATAATCAAAAGCCCATGAGTAATTGGTATATTATAGTTGATAATGGAGTGGGAAAAAGAGCACTCAAAAAACAAATGCGTCATGGACTCAGGAAAAAGATGACATAAACTGCATATGGGATTAACAGAAATGTTGTGTTTTAAGAGTGCATCTGCAGTTTTAAGCCCCCCAACAATAGCCATTCAGACATAAGCAGAAAAACGCAAAGCTGCTCTTTTATGCCAAATCAGATTAGCCCAAGGGCATATATCCAGTTGAGAGCAAAAACCATTAACATAATCTCTAAAAATTCCAGCACCCGAATTGTTCCAGAGTAAGCAAATGACAGAATCATGAATTGGCATAGCACTAATGAACTGCGTAACAATATTAGGCAAATAGCTAGGAAAGCACCATTTATTATCAACAATGAAATCCTTCAGGCAAGATTTTGCTGAAGTTCCATTAATAATATGAATCCCATTCTCAGTGTCAAATAACGTAGCATTATTGCACCAATGATCCCAATGCAAGGACATAAGTGCCAAAGCAGAAATTTTAAAATTGAAGAATTTTTTGGCCTCAATAGCAGTAACGCAGACCGATTTCCGAAATTTCGAAGAATAAGTGGGAGGAGGGCGCCACGGTGAAGAGTATCTGTGAAGTAGCAATGCAGATAAAGGGGAGTTCCGATTATACATTCTAGAAATCACAAAGCAATTGAAAGCATATTGTAAACCAACCAAAGAATGTATGCCCAAACCACCATTCAACTTGGGACAACATATTCTATCCCACGCAATCATGTGCAATTTGCTTTTACTGTCCATGTCCCCGAACAACAGAAACTTAGAAGAAATATTCCTAACAAATTTCAAAGTAGTTTTGGGCAATATTGAACCACGAATCTAGTATGCTATGGAATTTAAAATAGTAAATTTCAGAAATTGTAAACGCCCAGCAAACAAGAGAAGATGTGCATTCCAGCCAGAGAGTTTTTTGGTCAAGCTATCCATCAAAGGCAAGAAGTCAGCCACTTTTAAAGAATAGAAAGAAAGTAGAATTCCCAAGTAAGTAATTTTGTGGCTAATATTATATATGGACAAAGCTTGACAAATCTCCTCTTTGTTTCTCAGATTCTTTGGGAACATAACAGAACTTTTTTCAAAGTTAATGTAATCCAGAGACTTTACCAAAGGTATTCAGAATATTAGACAAAACAGAGCAGTTTTCAATGCTAGCTTCACCAAAGATTAATACATCGTCTGCGTACAGAAGACGAGTGAGATTGAAACCATCAAAGCCAATACCTTTAAAACCACCCTCATCCAAAAGAGAGGAAAAAGCATCCATAACAATGAAGAAAAGGTAAGAGCTAAGGGGACGTCCTTGCATTAAACCAGAAGAGGAGGGAAAATATCCCTCAAGAGCCCCATTCACAATAATAAAGAAGTTCACATCAGTGATACAAGCCCTTATCCAATTGGCAACACTATAAGGGAAACCTTTAATAGCTAGTCTATCAATTAAAAAGGCTCTAGATACAGTGTCAAAAGCTTTCCGAATATCTAGTTTGGCGCAGAAGAAATTGTTGTTGCCCTTAATACTAGAAGAATGAATAATATCTTTTGCTATAAGAATGTTGTAAGTAGAAACTCTGGATTTAACAAAGTCAGCTTGATTATGCTTAACAATATGAGGCATGATGGGCACAAGTCTATTAGCAATAATCTTAGCAATAATTTTGTAAGTGACATTGCAAAGAGCGATGGGTCTAAAATCAAAGATAGAGGAAGCATGGTTGTGCTTGGGAATGAGAGCAAGGACAGTAGCCTTAACCCCGCTAGGAATGTTACCTTTGTCAAAAAAAGAACAAATAGCTTTACAAATATGCAGACCAATGATATGCCAGCCTAATTTATAGAAATGATAATTAAAACCATCCGGGCCCGGAGCGGAGGTGGAAGATCTAGAGAAAATCGCAGTTTTAATCTCCTCAATAGAGACATGTTGAGTAAGAGAAGGAATGAAGTGAGCAGAGATGGTGAAACATGAAGGGAAAATACTCATATCCGTCAGTGAGGAGGCAGGGGGGTTATAAAGATCTTGAAAATATTGAATAATATTTGAAACGTAATCAGCCTGAGAATTTCTTTTCCTGCTCCTGATTTTAGCATAAAGATATTTCAAGTCTTCCTCCCCATTCTTTAGCCAATTGACTTTTGCTCTTTGAATAATCCAAGAGGCCATCATAGAAGTGAAGTCAGAGATTCTGGAGTTAATCTCTTTGAGAGAAGCATTTAATTGAGAATTAAGTGGGTCAGCATGGACTTTCTCAATCCAATCCTTTTGAATAGAATGAAGCTCATCCATATAAGACTTGATATTTCCAGCATTGGACCACTTTTCATTTCTAAGCACACCTTTAAACATTTTAAGCACACTGCAAAAACTGGCTAAAGGATTACTAGAAGTTGGCTTAGAAAAATTATCCATGAACAAAATCCAGCAAATGTTAAATTTGGTCCAATGCTGAAAAATTTGAGTAAACCTGAACTCGGCTTGATCATAACTCATGAGCTAACTCGTTTAAAAGATTATTAATAAAACTATGCATAGAGAATGTTTGAACATATGCATGGAGGCACAATAGTCATGCATAGAGAATATTTGAATATTCTATTATTTATTTTTTTGCGTTGAATAAAAAATTGGTGCAGAAGAAATTGTTGTTGCCCTTAATACTAGAAGAATGAAGAATACCTTTTGCTAAAAGAATGTTGACAGTAGAAACTCTGGATTTAACAAAGCGAGGTTGATTATGCTTAACAATATGAGGCATGATGGGCACAAGTCTATTAGCAATAATCTTAGCAATAATTTTGTAAGTGACATTGCAAATCAGAGATAGAGGAAGCATGGTTGTGCTTGGGAATGAGAGAAAGGGCAGTAGCCTTAAACCCACTAGGAATGTAACCTTTGTCAAAAAAAAGAACATATAGCTTTACAAATAAGCGGACCAATGATATGCCAGCCTGATTTGTAGAAATGATAATTAAAACCATCCGGGGCCGGAGCAGAGGTGGAAGATCTAGAGAAAACAGCAGTTTTAACTCCTCAGTAGAGACATGTTGAGTAAGAAAAGGAATTTTTTAATGCAAACATTAAAGAGTCCCAAACAAAGTCTTAGACTTTAATTGGAACGGCTTTCTTACTATTTTTTAATGCAATTTTTTAATGCAAAAATTTAAATTTTTATACTAAAAAGCTGCTTTAAGAAGCAATAAGAAAACAGTCCCAAATGAAGCCTTACTTTGGGATTGACTTTTCTATTTCTTTATAAAGTAACTTTTTTAGTAAAACAGTTTCTTAAAAATCAGTCACTTATTATTTTAAAATATAGTAAGATCAAGACGATGGGTACCAATTTCCTTCTCAATATTAAGATATCAAGCATAAAATACACAGGTATCCAGTCAACAGCATGGAAATATGCTCAAACAACTGCCTACTTGACAAAGTGTGTACATAACTAAAAAACTATTTCTTAGAACGCTCTTGCCTGTCACCTCTGTGCTACATGCAGAAGTGGAAGGTTCAAATAAACAGGAGAGCCAGCAAGAAGATCAACAAATAACCCTCAAGTGATAAATTGGACCTTCACTGTTCCTATAGAGCCACAATGGCTTTCATGGATAGAGTCTAATAAGCTCCCTCACTGTGCGACAATAAGCTCATCGAGATCACCATCAGTACTTGGCAGCAGCATTGGTAAATCATCATCAGTAGTAAATTGGTATTTCTCACCAATAGCTCTAAGAAGTTGGTAAACTTCAAACATTGTAGGCCTCTCCTTGGGCACTGAAAGAGCACACGAGCAAGCAACTTTTAGCACCTGAAGAAGCTCATTGTCATATCCCTTCCCAATCAAAGATTTATCAATCGCATCTTGAAGAAGGGAGCTGTTTGAAAGATAGCTTATCCAGTCCACCAAGCTTCCTTTGAAGCTGTCAGGTGCAATTGATACGTTGGTAGGTCTTTCACCAGTGACCAATTCAAGCAAGACTACTCCATAGCTATAAACATCACCTTTTGGAGTGGCAGTCAGAGTGCGTCCATATTCAGGAGCCACATAGCCCAGGTCGCCAAACTCACCATTGACAAATGTGCTAAGATGTGTATCAACTGGATTCATGAGTCTTGCAAGTCCGAAATCCGATATCTTCGGTTCGAAATCATGATCGAGGAGAATGCATTTTGAACTGATATTTCGATGAAGAATCCGGGGATTGCAACTATGGTGAAGCCATGCCAGGCCTTTTGCAGCTCCAATGCTGATTTTTAGCCTAAGTGGCCAACCCAAAACATGTCTTACTTCAGCGTCAGTTGGATGCAACGAGTCATAGAGATTACCGTTGGGCATGTGTTTATACACCAGCAACCTCTCTTTCTTTGCTATACAAAATCCTAACAGGGGAACCAAGTTGCTATGCCGCACAGCACCCAAGGTATTCATCTCAGCTATGAATTGAGTCTCAGAATGCTGAGAGTCTTGCAGTCTCTTGACTGCAAAAGTAGAACCATCAGGGAGAATTGCTCTGTACATAGTACCAGTCCTCCCAGTTCCAATGATGCTTTCCACATTGAAGTCATTAGTTGCTTCCATAAGACTGCTGAGCTTCATTTTCGAAATTGACTTCTCAAAACCAGAAACCTGAATCATTAACCATGAATTCAAAATAGTTGATCATTGCTTGATAAATGAAGGAAAAGAGATAAAAATATACGGTCCAGAATACCTTGGTTCCTCTGACTCCCTTCAAATGCTTCGCCCACATGTTATCTAACAGTACTTTTTTCTTCTTCTTGACAGTATCTTTGCGCAAGCAAAAGTATATAACAACTCCAACGATTAGGAGGGTTACACTGATACCAGCTACAACACAGCCAATAATGACACTAGTTTTGTCCTTCTTCGCAGGTCCTTGACACGCCGCCAATGGTGCCCCACAAAGCCCCGGATTGCCTGCAAAGCTAAAAGCTGTCATTGAAAAGTTGAATTGAGGGATAGGTCCAGACAACTGATTTTCAGCAACATTGAGGCTTGTCAGACGACCAAGAATTGTCATTTGCCATGGAATAGAACCACTAAGATGATTGTGTTGAAGGTTAATAACATTCAGAAAGCTACAATTTGAAATACCGATGGGGATTTCCCCACTGAAAATGTTGAATGAAAGATCCAGGTTCGTCACAAAGGGTATCTTCTTGGAAATATCAGCAGGTAGGGGTCCAGTTAAATTGTTGTTAGACAAATCTATTCCAGTTATGCTTGTACAGTTCTCAAGCCCTGATGGAAATTCACCTTCAAGACCCATGTTCGCAAGACGCAGGTTAAGGACCTTGTTTTCACCTGGATTCCAGCATTCCACACCAGTAAAAGGGCATATAAATCCATCAGTTGTGTTGTCGAATTTCCAAGAATTTGCCAGAATACCACCAGGGTCTTTTAGAGTCTGCTTTATGGATTTCAAGCATTCCACATCCAGCTGGGATGAATAGTTTCTGCTGCTCAACAGCATCAACAACAAGATTTGAAAGAGGCTAACATAGCTTCTATTTTCCATAAGCAAAAACAGTGAATGCAAAGTAAACTGCTGTCCCTAAACCCTAAACTGTAAGGAATCCACTATTCTCTGATATAATTATCCAAGTTATACCAAGTTGATATCTACCTACATCAGAAGTTGGGACAAGTTAGCACTACAAATCAACTTATTCCACGTACATTCTAAAATCTAGTTGAATTCTAGGACAAAAACACCACCATTGAAACAAGAACATAAGACACGTCATATTTGCAATGGTACAGGGTAAAAGTAGACTGGTTTGCACAGGAAATCTTGAATAATCAAATCTGCTTTATATTATCCGTAATGGCATACAACACAATAAAGCTACTCATCTGATTATGCAAGGAAAACAAGAAGAACGTAGACCTGGAGTATGGATATGTCATCTCCATTTTAATACAAGAGTAAAGCATTAAGTTAGGAAAGTTGGGGTATTAGATTTGACTTATGTTAAGAAAGGTAGAGGTAGACCTAAAAGATTTGGTTAGAAAATATTAGAAATGATATTTCTTTATTAGATTTAAATAAGAATTTGACTTTTAACAGGACATAATGGTGAAAAAGGATTCATGTAGCCGACCCCACGTAGTGGGACAAAGGCTTGATGTTGTTGTTGTTGTAGTAAAGCATTCGAATCACAGAATAGGTTCTCTAAAATGCATATTAGAATTCAAATTTGATTCATAAAATCATAACATATTGCATGTGAGAGATAGTTGATGAGAATGAAACCTCTGGTTAAAAAATGAGAATTCTCACAATCCTAAGCAAGAAAATAAGCATGACATTATATTTGAAAAATCAAGCACATGAAGATTATTGTAGCAAAGTAGAAAATACAAAACTATGTTAAAATCACTGTCAAGCACAATTCTTTGCTCGCACATAAAAACCCTTCCACTTTTAACTGTAAATGATCAAATCTAAAGTTTCAGAATTCATTATAATACATGACAGAATAAGAACCAATACACAGCTTTGCACACAATCTTCTTACTTTAAGCACACCAAATAATTATTCAAGAAATTCAATACACGCATAGATATGAGCAAAAACAGCTTGTTGGAAAGAAGAGTAAACCCCTATGAAAATGAAAAGCTCAATATTCATGGAAACTCAGTAAAAATACAACTCCTACTCCCAAAAGAACCAACCAAAACCAAGAAAGTGGATTAAAGAGTGTTTCTTCTTTGAAATCTTTTTATCACGATAACATAAGTCCAGCAGACCCAATTCAGAATCCCGCTGGAGCAAAATTAGGTAAAACAAGCTAAAGAGTTGAGTCCAAGGTTAAATTTTTTGATGATTCACACCAGCATAGCCGCACACACCAAAACAAAAAAAAAAAAACTTTCCTGAGGCAAACACTGGTTACCCTTAAAAATCCCAATTTTACACGACCTCATCAATCTCAGCACGATCTAACACCAAAATTAAGAAAAGCAATAAAAGAAAATCTAGAATTTATCATTAACCGGCAAGCTCCGTAGTGAAGCATACGAACTGCAGCAAATTTGGCCTCCGAAGCCCTAACCCTAGCTGAAAAGTCATTCTCCCTTAAGAGAAGGAAAAGGGATCTCAGGAAAAGGCGGGTCGCCGATGCGATTCTCAACGCGGCATTCAACGAAGACTCTGAAGACCCTGATGGGGAAGCCATCGCTTCCTCGAATTTCCACCAGGCGCAATAAATTAATGGAAAAACCAAGAAAGGTTCATAGGCGTTCACAACTAACAGTAACAATATTATTGATTTACGGTAATGCCGTCACATCGAGAAGAAAGTAAGACATTCTTGATTAAAGTAATAATGCGTTTGGCCACTGTAAACAGTCAGGAAAGTGATTTCAGGTCTTCAGAATTTTAATTAGAAGTAAACTGTAAGAGTGGTGATTCAAGCACTGAATAATTTAATAATTAATTAACATTTGAAAATATTAGTGGTTGATTACAAGGCAAATAATACAGTGTAAAGTATTCTAAATATAATGCCGAGTATTCTAATTCATTTTTTGCATAAATTTATTCAATTTTGAGGTAAAGCTAAATTGTCATAATTCTTACCGGCCATTACCTGTCTGCTGCCAACCATAACCTGTTGCCCACCGTTGTCGCTAGCTATCATAGTCAGTGTTGAGCATCGCTTGCTCCGGTCATTTGCCCTTGCCACTTGCCGTTGGCCTCAATCGGCCAACCACCATCATTTAGAACTTTACATTGCAGTCATTTAACTTCAAGCCATGCAAAAAGTAATCTCATGCAATCATGTTACATTCATTGAAATAACTTCAAACATTTCAAATACATTATAGTCTTATTACATTGCATTCAATTTACTCAACTTTCCTTTTTTTAGCAAACTAAATAGCCCATTACAGTGATCATTTAAAACTCTTTTTTGGTCTATTTATTAGGATATATAACGAGTGCATGATGAATAAAATGTAAGAATTTTGAAATTCTATGTGTTTGATTGAAAGAAAAAATAAATTTAAAATAATTTGTTGAGAAAATTTACATTATAAATACAATATGTCATCAGAGAATCAAACACAACTCTCTATCCTTCATGACACTAGTTATACATCTGTCCAAGCGATCTTTTTAGTGAGATCTACACACACAACACATGAAGTTTTTAGTGAACCCATCTCATCTAGCATGATGCACACAATAACCAACATGATGCATGACATGGTCATCGTGACACACACAACACTTGCACATGCCTCTCATCGACTTCCCCATGAAGTTATCTCCATCGATGTCTGACATAGGTTATACTTTTCTTGCAATAAAAAATGCAAAGGTTTTGAATTAAGCAAAGACTAAATTTTACGCAAGTGCACATGTTGTTTAAGTAATAAAGACGTGAGTTGAGCATTGATCACATGAGGACTTGAACTATCCAATGACAACCCTAGTGCGGTCTATGTGAACCACACAATTTATCCTACCAACCAAATTAAAAAGAGTTTTCTAAAGTTCCTATTGTAAGTGTTGAAATCAAAAGTTCTCTGTATAAAAGTGTTCAGAACTTATGATGCTGAACAAATTCATGTTTGCAAAAGTTACACTCTTTTAAAATATGTTGTGAATCATAACAAATTCACTCATAGTCTCTGTTGAGTTTGCAAGAGTTTTAAGTTAAGCTTTCACTCAACAATAATTATATCTCCTTAGATTTCAAGCCCCTAGCCATCATATGTTTATACATGGTTAATTTTCATTTCAATTCTCCTATTTGTTCCTTTACTCCTTTGTCGAGATATTAAATTACACCTGATTTTAGTTAGTGCACAACTTATGTAAGAATAAATGAAGAGAAAAAGAATTGAAAATCACATTTAAATAATTATAAGAATTAGAGTCAACTTGAGCAAAACATGATTTCTCATACATCACAACTCTAAAACTAGAAAATTAGTTAGCCATGAATTGATAAGCATGCAAAATAGTTTCTATTGAATACTAAGAATAAGATGAACAAGGAGTTTAAGTGCATATGCCACCCTAAAGTGCTTTTACAATTGATTACAAATACTATTTACATAAAAATTGACTTCCCTTTTGCACTCCCTCTCCTTCACTCTCTACTGACACTCTCACACTATTTTGCACAAGAAATTAATGGCCAACCCTCACAAGTTCTATGAAAAAAATTATTTCTATTAAACACCATAACTGACACTAGCACCGCAGTGCAACAAATGGTTTCGTTGCGACATTGTTGAAGTGAACTAGTACTATGGTGCTACTGGATGTCTTTATTATGGCATTGAGTCTAAATCGATGTGTCATTTTGCTAGGTATTTATTCTTCTCTAGTGCTTCAATGCTTAGAGCGTGATAACACTTAATGATGCAGGGTTTGTGATCTTTTTTCAAAACTGTGGCCCTTTTTCTAGAATTTCCAGCATAACAAAGATCAAAGGAGAGTTTTTCATAGTAAAAAAAGATATATAAATAATAACATCAATTTCCACTAACAATGTCACGACACCTCATACATATCTGACATCGCTATATAATCATCCCTAGGCTTGGTCATTTTTTTCCTAAATTTTGATCCAGCTCAATTCCAAACAACAAAATAAATTTTAGTATTCCAAATACATTCTATTTATAGTACAATGCATTTAAAATATCTTTGAATTTTGAATAATTTCAACAAAGCAATCCCTCAAAGAGATCCTCTACATTTTGTTTATTAAATCTAAATAATTCATTTTATTTAATTTATTTTGACTGAATTTTTTTTTTAATCATTATTATTGTACGCTATAATATTTGTCGAGACGAAGAGAGAAATTTTATTATCTAAGTATCATATGAAAATTCTACACACATGGTAATAAGATAAGTTGATAATAACTCATAAAAGACATGTGATTTATATATGAAAAACTCGGGAAGAGAAAAAGTCATGAGGTTAAACCTAATTGAAATGATTCTACTATTGTTAGTATTATGTTATAAATGATATCCTTCCTTATAATTAAAGAATACATTTATATAATATAATAAATATGAATTTTTTAAGATCACTTTAATGTGTTGAATTTTAGAGTGTCTTGAGACATTGGTTTTATAATCAAGAGATCATTGACTGCCAACTTAGTTATACTCCATATAATAGAGGAGTTTGCAAGCACCAACCTTGATATAGATGTCATATATCAATGCTGGTGTGAACAGTATGAATTAGCCTTGTTAGCGATGACAGATATCAATGCTGGTGAAGATGGTAGAAGTTGAGCTTATTTTTTATAATAAAAGTTGATGTTGCTCTCGATGACATGTATCTATCTCATTAACGACGACGAACATCAATTTTATTGATGATGATGGACATCAATATTGGGTTCAAAGCGAGGTGTTAATTCCAATATCAATTCTAAATATCAATCTTACTATAATGGAAGACATCAACATTGGTCTTAGCAGCATGTTTCAACCTTATTGGTGACAACAAGCGTTAGCCTTCTTAGCGGTGATAGGTGTTGACAATGGTGTTAGTGATAGGCACTGATGTTGGTGTTGATAATAAGTTATAGTATTGTTGGTTCATGCATACATTAATGTTGGTGTCAATGATGGGCATTAGTATTAGTGTTGATAGGGGATGTAGGCCTTATTGAAAATGGAGGGCATTGACAACTATTGACCATATATATCACTTTTGGTGGAAATGAAAGATACAAATCTTGACACCGATATCATGCATTGGTCTTATTAGTGATGGTGAGTGCTAGCTTTAGTTTCAATAGCAAGTGTTGACCTTGTTGGTGATAATATGGATTGATAATGGTGTCAACATTAAACCTCTAGCTTATTGGTTATGGCAAGCATAAGCCTTATTAGTGAGCAAGGCATCAATCTTCTAATCAATGATGAACATCAATTCTAAGGATGTCAATGTTAGTTTTAACAATGGATGTCTACATTATTGGTGATAATATGTTTTAATATCAATGTTCATGATGAGATTTAATGTTTGTGTTGACAATGGGCATTGGCTTTGGTGTTAAGGGTAAGCATTAATCTTATTGGAAATGTTGAGTGTAGAAGATAGTATTATTGCCTCCCCCGTAGCTTTTTTAGAGGGAGTTTTAATATATTTAAGTTTCGAGGTAAATTTTGGGAAGAAAGATGAGTTTGTAGATAAGACACTACCCAGAGATTTTGCCCTAATTTTACTAGGGCTTTAGATCTGAGTTCTTATTTCCTATAGGTGCAAGCCCCTAGAGTTAATTACCCTCCCAATCATGAGAGAGAACTTTCGATTAAGGCTAGTCGACATTCAGATATGTAGAAAATATGTGTTATCTGGCATATAGTAGAAGCATAGGTTGAATATTGGAGATTTAATATTTAAAATTAGAAATTTTCACCATCTTGCACTTAAAGTGGATGGTGGTGGAATGTATAATTGACCCAATTAAGATCCTATGATTTTGTTGTCCCAGGCCATCATGGTCCCTAATCTACTTAGTTAGAGGGGGTAGTTGCAAACTGACAGAAGGATCCTTGTTGGTAGCCATGGGTTACTTAGTCTAAGGGTAACTTGTAGACCTGGGGAGAGTATTTGTCTGAGGGGACAAATTTGAATTCACCTTACTAATAGAGGGCTTTTTTCCCTATTAGTTATACCTTATTGATTCATATCTTAAGGATTTGATGCCATTAAGAAACGTATTGACTCTGTCTATAATTGTTATCTCGTGCTGCCATTTGGTGGTAGAATCACTCAGTTTAGAGGGCCCCGATTCATAACTGTTTATCATGCGGTGCCATTTAGCGACAAAATTATTGGTCAGATGACACGTACCATATTCTTACTAGCAGGAGATTATTTTAGAATGGATCTTAATATTATTTTTTTATTAGATATTAGCTCTATATATGCAAGCTAAAGTAAATTTTGATTTGTCTACCCCAATAACTATTATGGAAGGTGGATGGATTTTGCTTTAAGTGGTTGGATGGTTTATTTTCAATTTTTAAATATTTTTGGATTTTGAGATTTTCAAATTTTTAGATTTTGAATATTTGGGTGGCATTTTGAATTTTTGGAGTTAACCCCTCCAGTTAAGATTTTCATTCAATACGACCATCATTGGGAGTGACTTCGAGATAACTTGAAAAATACTTGAATTTCATGGAAATTTGAGGGCATTTTGAAATATTTAAAATTAACCC